CAAAGATTTTTATATTTCAACTGTTGTAATTATGTACGTAGTTATAGAATTTATTAAAACTCCCCTTCGATAAGTCAGGTTGTTGGGTAATAATTTAATCCTTATAGCTGTGGACTGTATTAAACACTGATTTGTTTGTATATTATGTATTTGTTGCAGTTCTAATTACAATCACTGATTTGTTACTAAGTTATAAAGAAAGAAGATATATTTATTTTTATTGGTTATTTACATGTTGTTAAGCGGGCTTTACTTTTAGAAGTGAACCACTAGTTCAATTAAAACACTCCGCTATCCCCTCTACCAGAGGTAGCAACCATTCCGTGTAAAGCTTAATGCCTTGAAGTTTGTCACCTTCATGGCCAATATAATAAAACGAAAAGACGTCCGAACAGCATTATTGATCTACTCACATGCATCTCACATGCTTGCCATAACATAACAATACGTACGTATAAATGCATTATCACACAGTATAGTTCTGTTCTCTAGAGATATTGCGAGAAACAATCAATAAATAGTTTTACTCCCAAATTCCAACGACAAGACAAAGCATAATCCTGTAACTTTCGAATTGGTATCCACCAGCTTGAGATATATATATATATATATATATATATATATATATTTGAAAAATATAACTATTCACAAAATGAACGAAGCAACTAGATCTGAAATTTTTGAAGATTTTTTGAGTAACAATCAATAAAAATTTTTACTTCCAAATTGCAACTTCTGGACAAGTCATAGAAGGTCCTGCAACTTTCAAATTAGTATCCACCAGCCCTTTCTCTAGTCGATCTAGTACGCTATATCGTGAGTTTAGCGCGATTTATTATAATTGTTTAGAACGAAAGGCAAGCGTTTATCATAACTCGTGCATCTCGCAGATGAAGTATCATCCATCCGTGATAGAACTAAGAGCGCGGCATCAAATCATGCGTTGATTTACTACTAATGAACTCGTAAACGCGCGTTACGGACACTCCATTACACGAGTTGTCGCGGACGCCACGGGCGGCGGCGATTATTAGCTACAACCGCTACGGCCGCACGACACCGAGGGATAGATTTATTGCGGCTACTGAATTATATGCGAACCGGACGCCATGTGACGATATTTAGGTGGGCACGTAAACGAGAACATTATCTCATATTGGGTTATCTTACTACGAAAATAAGAATAAACGTAGAAAAAACTAATGCTATCATATTTACCAACAAAAGAAACAACTATATACTGCAAGGACCTCTTAATGTAGGCGATGTAAACTTTAATTGGGTTGACAAGGTAAAGTATCTAGGTATTACACTAGATAAAAAACTAAAATTCAATGAACATATAAAATCAAGAGCAAACTTGTCTATAGCTATTATGAATAAACTACACCCAATAATTTGTCCTCACTCCAAACTTAATATACACAACTAGCAAACTCGACGAACTCCGTTTCGCCACAAGATAGTTTCGTGAGAAAGATGAAGAAATTCTTTGTTTGTTTCATATTTGAAATGAAAAAAATTGATTTTATTATACAACAGTGATGAATTAATTTCGATTACAAAAATGAAGTGTTTTTATGTGGAGTTTCTCAAAGTAAATGGCACTAAGGCAGGATGTACCACTAATTTTCTTAGCTGCAAACTTTGCGGATCCCGAGACCTTTCCAACGAATGCAAAATTGTCGAAATCGGTTCGTGCGTTCTGGAGTTATTTCGTCAGGAAGGAAAACCCGACTTATTTTTATATATATATATAGAAGATAATCTATTTGAAATTATTTAAAACAGTTATTGATTATTTTTATTATTCGAATTTTTAATTACGGTGCGTGAAGTTCCAGCAGCTTGAATTAAGGCACGATGCCATGCACAACTAATTTTCTTAGCTATAAACCTTGCGGAGTCCAAGACCTTTCCAAAGAATGCAAAATTGTCGAAATCGGTTTGTGCGTTCTGGAGTTATTTCGTCAGGAAAGAAAACCCGACTTATTTTTATATATGTAGAAGATAATCTATTTGAAATTATTTAAAACAGTTATTGATTATTTTTATTACTCGAATTTTTAATTAAGGTGCGTGAAGTTCCAGCAGCTTGCATTAAGGCACGATGCCATGCACAACTAATTTTCTTAGCTATAAACCTTGCGGAGCCCGAGACATTTCCAACAAATGCAAAATTTTCGAAATCGGTTCGTGCGTTCTGGAGTTATTTCGTCAGGAAGGAAAACCCGACTTATTTTTATATATATAGAAGATAAACGACTATTATATTTATCATTAGTAAGACCAATTTTAACATATGGATCTCCGGTATGGGGAAACACAACAAAAACTAATTTAGCAATAATACAAAGACTACAAAATAAATACACTAGATTAATATTGGGAATTAGTAGAAACCCAATAACCAAAAGATATGTATCAAATGAAAAAAATCATAATTCTATCAATATTCCATATATAACAGAATACATCACAAAGCTCACTAATAATTTTCAATCTAATTGTAGAACACATGTTAATACAACCATAGCAAATATAACTGAACAAATTTGATAAATTTCTTATAACTTATAGTATAATTTGTACATTGTTATTTAGTTGTAAATATGTATATATTTTTATTATCTTTTGTTAACTAGTTATAAGAACACTTGATGGCAGTATGTTTTTAATAGCTCTTTTCATACTTATATAAGCTAATTGAAACAAATATATATATATATATGCAAACAATAGGTGTATACAATTTGTATCTTTATGTAAAAATCAATGTATGTATTTAAGTCAAATAAAGCAAATTTTCAAATTAAAAAAAAATTACTACCTGAAAGATAAAAATATAATAAGGCTAATATATTTTCGAATTTTGTAGGAATTTATATCAATAGATATATGAATAGCTGTGAACACGTCTCCAACTACCTATTGCCATATTACCTAAATTAACTTGGCCTAGTATAATTCAGGGAACATGTTTTATTGCTTAGAATATTCTATTCTTACAATCAGTAAAAATATTTAAACATGTTGAATTCCAAAAATTAAAATCTCATCAGGATTATATTATCTGGTCTGTACGTGAAACATGAAATATTAGCAGGATAGTAATTTTTTCTCGTAGTCGCGGCTAATGTTATTTAATTAATTCTGCTATTAATGAAGATAAATTTATAAATAAAAAAATATCTTTTGATCTATAAGTGTTATCAATTTTATCAAGAAACACTCTGTACCTTCATTACAATTGAATCAATTTCTACGAGATGAAGAGCTAAAGCTGCAATAAGCTTTATTCGTATATAGATTACTTTAATAAAAAAAGAAATAATTTACAGGAAAATAGATCTGGTGAATACTCTATTTGTCTCATGATATTTCTTTCATGAGTATTTGGGCGAAAAAGCGTTCATATTATAGGACTTATGCAACGGTGCTTTATCAAGAAGCAAAATACATTATAGTTTTCTTCCCACAAATTGAAAAGTTTTCTAAGCACAATCTTTCTGAAATGACGCATAACTTCTAAATAATATTCTTTATTTACTGTAAAACCATATATAACGATTTCTGAATGCACAACCACAGCACAAGTGACTTAGGGGACGATTTTATCCATTGAAGACTTTGATGTATGATTAGGTCTTCCACGACTTTTTGGCCCTCTGCCAATATTTTACAACACTCATAAGTCAAATTCTTTTTGAAAAACACTTGTCATACTCTTTATATACAATTTTAAATTATTCCGTTCAAAATACAAAAGTTAAGACAAAGCTTTTGTTCTATAATTTTGACCGTTGTAAAAATCGCCAAATATGCAGGTACCTTCGCAATTGAATGGAAATAACAATTATTGACGGTTAAAAATCAAACTTTGCACCAATATTAAATACAATTGTGCAAGCATTTCAGCGAAAATATACATTGCAGCCCACTATTAAATCAGCAATTCCCGGTATTTAGTTGACAGCATATATGTTAACTAATCTTTTATAGAAATCATCATATATTTTATCATGTTCTAACATTATGCCAATTATTATAATTTATGAATTTTCGATAACTCATATGTTTTGTCCTAAAAAAAATATCGTTGTATGCCTATTGTTTTTGTGCCTTACAAAGCTACGTTGTAATGTCAAATTCTTCTTGAGACAAGAGCTTATTGTATGGTATATTCGATGAATCAAATTATAAAACTTTTACAAGACGCTTTCAATTAAGTAGCAAACAATTAAATTGTAGAATGAAAAAACTATTGAACGATATCAAACGCACTTCGTTATGAGATACGTATTGTAATAAAAGTTTAAATAGAGTATTACTAACGGCTTAACGGCAATTTTACTATGTTGCTAATCTTTATTAACGTTTATTAAGACACTAATAAAACTAGTATCAGGTAATTAAGAAATATATTTGAATTAATATATTCTGAATGTGTGACGTACGTCGTTAGTCCTTGAGGTTTAATTCTTTACAAGTTTTCGTATTTCTTTTAATAATTAATGATCATTTAGTTCATAAAACTCATTTTGATTTGAGCTATATTCTATGTCAATTCTTCAGTTTAACGTTCTATTGTTTCAATGAAGATAAAATGGAATATAGAACCATATGCATTATAAGCCAAAAATACTTTATCGGATTATATTATAACATATTTTAAGTAGATGTACACAAGTTGCAAAAATATAGAAGAAATAACTACGTGCATTATTAAATTTCATACAAATATAAATTTAAATCAGTAATTAAAATTAGTTTAAATAAATAAAAATCAATACTGCAGTCTATGACGTCTGCATTGTAATTGCTTAATGGATTTTTTTTTCAAATTCAAGATAGTGATGAATCTCTTTGAACTGTGATCATAATAAAAATAATGCCTTTACCCAAATTAAGCCAATTTAACCATACTTAATTCAAAATTGGGATATCGTAGATATCTGTAGTAATGTGAATAAAATTTCAACCGAAGCCACGACTATAAAATGTCGTTAAGGATTGGAAGATGGTATACTCCGGACATGATTATTACCTCTGTGATACTCAAGATCACAAATACGATTAGGTCTGAGGTAATTCAGATAAGTCCCGGAGCGAAATGTATATATTATATATGCGAGAAGAACATAGTGCGTGATATGTAGATTATCAAACAAACACATCGTTTCCGCGGAGAAACTACACGGTTGCAGATCGATGCAAAAACTTTGAAATTTCTTGATGACTTAATCGTAAGATATTGGCGATTTAGATTAGAGTTCGTCCAATAACTTTAATAGGATACTTACGTGTGAGTGCATGGTGATAATAGGTTTTTTTTTTGCAAAGATATGGATAGAAACTAGTTGGTAGTTCGCATAGCGCAAATTAATATTCTATTATTGCATTAGTAATAAGAATTCGAATGATTATTAACAGCTGAGTTCTTTTTTTTCCTAAATTAGTTTTCGCATTTGTTACTTCAGTTAACAAATTAAGGTATGTCCTTATTATTCATCTAATTTCATGGAAAATAATGTACCAAATACAGTTTTAATTATTTTTTTCGAAAAATCCGAAGCTGTGTCATGCGAACGCTTTTAATTCTAGAGATATACCACGCCAAATGTTTTTCGATAATTCCTTAAAAGTTCTCAGATTTATAAAAGTAGATTTTCAATTCAACACTGATTAAGTCTAACAATATGGTTTTTTGTACAACATATATTTTTGTCAAATTTTGATTCATTTTGAAGTTTTTGAATACATGTTAGAATATAATGACTTATGCTCTCTGATTGCTGAGTTTGATATTTATTAATTTCTTATATATGGGATTCAATATAATTTCACCCTTAATTATAGAGAGTTTCAATAATATTCTGGTTATTTAAAATTATAAACAATGCTAAAACAATACGATGCCATTTACATAATCCTATTTTGTTTGTCATCTATTATCTCATAAGAAAACATGTCTGACCCATTGCTCTATTTAATGAACCATCTTAATAAGACCATATTTCAAGAACTAGAGATATTTCTCTTCATTACTACATACAAAAGTAACAGTTTTCTTGCATTGTATGCTAGGAACATAATACATTTGCGTAAATTTATAGCCGTTAAAATTCCGTAGCACAATTGAATGCCCAAGCCACCAGCTGTTTTGCATGCATTATTTCATTTGCTTACGTTCTTTGCATTTCACATGATGGTCTGGGAACATTTACTTAATAAAAATGCCATGCAGTTGGCAGAGGCATATATTACTTCCGTGTATTCTTCTGTATTTAATGCATTTTGTAATTTGTTGAACATTTTGATTATTATTTAATAGCCTAGGTTTGCGTAAAACTTAATTAAAAGTAATATTATCGGCCTCCATAAAGTAGTATTTAACTATATTTCTCCAACAAAGATCATGGATGTGATTTATGTATCAAAATTCATCTGTTATTCAAATGTGCTTCTGGAAGTATTCAACGTCGAGCGAATTCTGAAGTAATGATATGCAATTTAACTATACTTTTCCCAATCGAAGCAAGCGGACCTGCTTTAGACCAAAGTATCCAATAATATTTTTATCTGACTCCCTCATAATACCAGCAATAAAAACTACTTTTAACCTCTGCATTATTATACTAACAATTTCCTTTTTTCAGTCCTTGTGCAGTCACGGAAGTCAACTGATCGGATCAAGTTGTGTGGACAATATAGATTGTGAAGAAATCGTAGCTAATAGTAGGTGCTTAGAAGGCAGATGCGCGTGTAAACCCTATCATGCTACATTTAATATGACTGCCTGTCTTCCCGGTAAGCAAGTTAACTAATAATTTAGATCATAAAGCAGATCATTGTGCCATTATGTAGCTTCATGTTTCAAGTCATATTTAAAAAAAAATATTGAGGCCTAAATTAATATTCATTTGCAAAGTAGCAAACCTTATTACCGGAAATATTAAGTTCACATTAATTGATGAATGCTACCACAATTTTTAACATCTATAATTGTAGTGTAATTGATTCTTATATATAAAAATGAATCGCAAAATGTGTTGGGAAGCGCATAACTCAACAACGCCTGAACCAATTTGATCAATTCTTTTTTTAAAATGTTCGTTGAAGTCCAAGGATGGTTCTTACGGAAAAAATCGAATAATTGTCGAGAAAACCCTAAAAACAGCCCTCTTATTTTTCTCATATAAAAGTTTTTTAACTAAAACGTAAAATCAATTTGAGCTTTATTGCTATTAAAGATCATATTAAATTACAAGCACTCACTGTATACTCCTTTTAAACGATTATTTGAATTTTGATAAATCTTTCTGAAGTTTGTTAAGAAAATTTTCTAGGATGTATGTATTACAAAGTACTGGGATGTATGTGCAATATTGTAGAAATCTATAATATAAAATAAATGAAAAAAATTGAAAAAAAAAACGACATGCCATTGTTTGCATTGAAACCAAATGAAAACTATCATCTGCCAAAAATTTCAATTTACTTATTAACCTAGACAATATTAAAATATATATAATAAATGTATGATTATGAATAAGAAAAATGAAATGTCTACATTATTATTGCCAAAGAGCATCTGAGATGTGCCAGAAATTAAAATAATATAAGATACAGTATATGTATGGCAGATTGAATGATACACATATGAACACGATATGACAAATTAATTCACTTAAAATATGAAATTAAGTATTAATCAGGGACGGTCCTACCTTTAATGCGATGCATGCAAAAAATACTATCGCACACCTTAGGGGGCGCCAACACAATATTCGGATATTAAATTTTCAATATAGATTTTTTTCCAATATATATTTTCTTTGCATCTTTCCACAATATTTTTAAAATTCGTAAAAATTTCACTTTATACCAACTAATGAGAGAGTAAAGATGAATACATACAATTCGGCCCTCGCGATATCGATTAAGAGAAGTTCAAGATGCAACTTTGGATATCTTAAATAATAAAAAAATTGAATTTATTTAATCCAACATGAAGTACCAGTGTTATGTTATGGTTATGTTATACCGTTTAAAAGACTTCAATTTCCAATATAGTGTGGGAATTGAGACTCATCATTTTATTTAAAGCAGTTCTACATTTAACATTGCTCATATTATAAATGTATATGCATTTTGGCGTAAAGAGTAATTTAAAAAACAATAATTATTAATTTTAGGTAAACGGTAAATATTAGTATATTATATTTAAAAAAATGTAGACATGAGTACAGGACAACGTCTGTCGTGTCATCTAGTAATTCAATATAAATAATGTGAGTTCCCATAATGATTTATTGAAATTTATTTAACACTACACACAATTAACCAAAAAACTAGTCATTTATTTTAGAGAATCAGAAACTAATTCATTTTAAATATTATAAGGAGTTCCTAGACAAAAAGCTCCTAAGGGGACAATGTTCAGTACCTGTTAGTTCTGACAAATATCTCCTTTTTGTCATGCAGCCGTTCGTGGAATATAATATAAATAACGCGCGGTATCTGGTCAGTCAGCTCCGAGCGGTTATCGCAATAACGGTCGTCCGCGGCGCGATTCGTTGTCCACTATTTCACGAACCGCAACGGAACGATTGCGCCCGCAGCGTTCGCGACTGATAGCAGTTTTCATTTTTCTAGCGACTCGGACTTTTATTGCACCCGATTTGTTACTGCCTGATCACGAATAATCGAACTTCATAGATGAACAGCTGGTGGTCATGATAATAGAATTAGGCGAATAGTTGGGATATCTCGATAATTGGAGTAAATTGATTTCATGCTGGGTATTGCGTTCTCTTCTTGGCTTTTTAAAATCTATAGATTTTTCCGATCATTTAAAGCATGGGTTATATTATTTTCTTCGTACTTATTTTTCAAAAGCATTCAAAATAACTTTAGAATTTATTTAGACCATAGGTTCCCAAACTTGTTTGTGCCGTTGACCCTTGCAATGTTTTTTCTTTTGCTATGGACATCCTATATTAAAGTGATCACACGTACCAGTTTCGCCGGAACAGTCACGGATTTCCATCTAGTGATCCGGGTTTTTATAAATTCAATTTTCGATCCGGATTGTGCCGTATTCTCAAAAAGTTTAGATTTATATCGAATCTCCGCAATGCTTGAAACTAAAATTACAACTACCCATCAAATATCTGGAAACGATATATTTCACATCACTCAATAAATCTGTAGGATAACTAAGAAAAACCAATTTTATGCCAAATTTCTTTCTTTTTATGCAACATAGTTTCTTCGAAGACGATATAAAAATTAAAGCAAACTTCAAAATTTCGAAACCATTTATTTAGTACGATTTGTACTTTGCCACAAAAATCATCTCATCGTTTGGTAAAAGTTTCCTCAAAGCAACCATCCTTTTGAGATCTGAGATCGGTATATGGTCGCTGGGAAACAGATCTAGAAAATATGGTAAAAGAAAAAGCAATTTGGAGTCCAATTCATATTTTTCTTCTATATGCGAGGTTGATGGGTGGCTGGCTCCGCTCTCAATAAGAGTATTGAAACAGATTATACGTTTCCAAAAATGCATAATTCGATTTTGATGAAACATGACGTACATTGTTACAACACTTTACTAAATATTTGACAAAAATTTAAAGTTGAATCGTTCAATAGTTTTTAAGATATGCGAGGTTGATGGGTGGCTGACTCCGCTCTCAATACTAGTATTGAAACAGATTGTACGTTTTCAAAAATGCATAATTCGATTTTGATGAAACTTGACACACATTGTTTCTATACTTTACCAAGATTGTGACCAAAATTTAAAGTTGGGACATTCAATTGTTTCTAAGATATGCGAGATTGATGGATGGCTGGCTCCGTGCTCAATACTAACATTTAAAGTTTAAATCATTTCTAAATATGCCATGACCCCCATTTTCATTTCGGGGCCCCCCAAATTTTGTTTTCCCTGCCGTGGACCTCTTGAAAGTTGCCATGGACCCCTGGGGGTCTATGTGGACCACTTTGCGAATCACTGATTTAGACAAACTAATCAAGAACAACAATCGAGAGATCAACAACAATCGAAAGTTGCAATGGTATTACTGTTGAATTGCTTTGTATCTATGGGACGAGGTGTATACGTAAGGCATGTATGTATGTATATCTAAAAGTTGTTCAATTATAATAAATAAGTGCATTGCAATGTATGAAACTAATAACTTGAATACTTTCACGAAAGTTATCATTCAAATGTCTTCCTTCCAAACTTTATTAACTTCCCGTATGGTAAGTTATTGTGATCGTCCAAAAATCGAAATTGAAAATTGTTGCATTTCTTCACGTTTTGAAGGTATTTGAACATTTTGGCATACCTCAAAAGAAATGGATATGTGTGTGTATGTAAGGATACAATTTTTCGTCCACGTTTTCGGGCGCACGGATCAACCGATTTGAGTGATTCAAAAACATTCGATTTTTATTGATAGGGAGATTTCCAGCCATTTCGAATATATCTTCCAATGGTGTAATTTATTTATTCAACACGAAGACGAAGTTCAAGCAATGATGGCATTAATTTCAAAATTATTTATACTAACATTTAATTCTTAATATTACTTAAGCTGTTGCCAAAATTGGGTCACCTAAACAGAGCTAAATGTACAAAAAATGGCAGTTTCTGAGAGAACTAAGCAACCGATTTGAATGATTCAAACAACTTTTTGATTGTGTTGACAAAACAATTGCTTTTGGAAAAAAAATTTTTATTACAATTAAAACATTTAATATTCCTCGAACATTTCGTTACGCTGCAGGAACTTCCAACAATTTGCCTTAAGGCACGATGCCATACACCACTAGTTTTGTATTATTATTCAAAGTGATTCTATTTCAGTTCATTTACATTATAGAATAATTACACATTTGATATCAATATCTTTTCTATATTTCAGCAAGTCTTCTAGGCGCATCATGCGTAACCGAAGCACAATGCACGAATCGGGTGCCGAACAGTGAATGCAAGGAAGCTGTGTGCTCCTGCAAACACGGCTTCTTACAGTACAGAAAGCACACCTGTCTTGAAGGTAAGCCGAGATCAAAATGAAAAATCCTATCATTGACAATAGTATTGCTGTATATGTTAAAACGAAACAGACTTTGGGATCAGTTGTAGAATTTTCAATATGCCAATGTCAATATGCCTATACAGCATATATAAGACTTGGTGTACCTCTAATTATATATATAGTCTACTATTGTAGATTTATATAAATAATTTTATGATAATACTTCTAAGAAGTACAATTAATAAATAATTATTCAAAAAACATATAAACCATCAATAATGGTGAATAAAATTTGTTCAATGATGTACATTTCTTGAGCTAATATTAACTTGATTTGAAGAAAATTTATACAATTCTTCCCTATTCCCATCGGGCATCCCGATTAACTAACTTGATTTGAAGAAAATTTATACAATTCTTCCCTATTCCCAACGGGCATTCCACCTTAATTGCAAATTATGTGTATTCTATTATGCATTTCTAACTGCAATAAAACGTGACGTCTCAATGGTCACGATGCATTATATTATATGTGGGTAACCCGTTGCTCGATATCTCTTAAATGAATCTTTGCTAACAATTGGCGATGCTGGACGGTCCAGAAACTGAGTAGACACAGAGCTAATGATTTAGCAACATTTTGATTTTAAGAATATTTATTATCATATTTGCATGTGTAACATTTTAAACATGTCTCACAGCAACATATATTTCATTGCTGGATGATTGGAAATTAAGGAAATTTGTTCTCCTAATGTTCAATTTCTATTACTTAAATAACTGTTTGTATTTCACTGGTAAAATATTTCATTTAACACGTTGAGTCCTAGGGACGAACAGTCAACTTTGCGTCAACTTAGCATATGACTGGCATCTGACATCGGTCCCAAAGACCGGGGCTAGAATTTTGCATGGTTTGTATGATCGAAGTATGTATGTATGAACAGTACAAAATATGGTTAGTCTCAATGAAATGCTAAGGACTATAATTTTTATGTAATTTATTGAACCATTCTACATAAAAATGTGTTACGTGGTGAACGTTGGCTACCATTCGTCATTGCCGGCTGAACGGAAAGGGAAGAAAATTGAGCGCTGTGCTCACCGTGTCAAAGCAGTAAATGTTGTTGTGGCAACCCCAACGCTGCCAGCAATTAATGTTGTGCAACCTTGAGCTAACAACAAATATGTTGAGATCCCAACACTGGTACCAAATGTTACCAAAACCTTACAAAAACCGTTACTCTGACTTGCACGTGCGTCTTATCTTTGCATACAATGTTGCAAGGCTATGAATCATGCTAACTGCGTTGTTCATATTGACTGTTATATAAAATTTATAATATTATTTATAATTATTACAAAGGGGTGGATAGCACTACAATGTACACAAACTTATCCTACTTCGATCAGACTTTCAAAAGATTTTTTAGCAAAATATGTCTATAAAATTGTAAGCGCCAGATCGTATAGTTAAAATCTAATATGAATAAAATTGTTTAGTAAATAGAATAGGAAGCTAAGCTAAATTTAGCTAATTACATTATTTCTATAATACTATATAACTGAAGATGAGTAACTTATAAGAAAAACCAAATCGATATTAATGAATTAGGATGCTAAGAATTACTAAGCATGTAACACCTACTGTTATATGACTAGCGGGAAATGACTGAAATTCAGGTGCATCTGTATATTACATAAAAAGATGCTTCAATCATTATTCAAGTTTGAAACGTTTACCGACTGCTATATTAAAACAAGTGTGCCGGTCGGCCCCACACGCTTCCTCTATTGACACAGCACGACGCGACGCTACATAACGCCGGAAAATTATTAATCGGCCGACCTCTAATCCGCGGATATTTTATCGATATTTTAGTCTTAACGGTTAATTCCTTTTACATCCGGCAAAGGTTCGAATGAATAACTCAGCGCGAAAACTATGGAAATATTACCGGTAAATCGTTATTTGTACAGCATTACATGCAAAATATATATATATTTGTGAGCGCCGCGGATCTGGAAATTAATAACTATTAATAATAATATGATTTATTTTTAAGCTTTCAATTTTGAGATGATATTATAGTTTATAATAGTTGCTGCATTATTTTTCAGTATGGTATATTATTTTCATGAAACTTTAAACGGTTTCTAGTTATGTTGAAAAAATAATTACAAACTAGTGGGGTGTATGGCATGCTGGAACTTCCCGTACCGTAACGAAATGTTCGAGGAATTCTGAATGTTTTCAAATAGATTATTATTATTATTGTAAAAAGTTGAAATTATTTGTTTAATGTATATTAGAATTATAGTCAGAATTAAAAATAAAATCTGTATTATTTTCGATATACAAAAAAAAATTTTTTTTGAAAAAAGAAGAGAAGGAAAAAAAACAAAAATTTTTTTTCCAAAATCAATTATTTTGTTAAGACAAGCAGAAAGTTCTTCGAATCATTTAAATCGGACGCTTAGTTCACTCAAAATCTGCCATTTTTTGTACATTTAGCTCCGTATCTTCGAAATGGCTGGGCCTGCCTTTTCCAAAAACTAATAAACACTTCTCCCAATCATTACTAATTGAATATTTTTTAGATCATTCAAATCGGATGCTCCGTTCTCTCAAAAACACGATTTCTATTTTCTGCACTCTTTGCTCTTTATCTCCGTAGCGGCTGGACCTGCCTTTGCCAAAAACTAATCAGCTCATCTCCCTATCAATAGGAATCGAATGCTTTTTGAACCACTCAAATCGGTTGATCCGTGCGCCCGAAAACGTGACTGGAAATTTGTATCCATACATACACACACACATCCATTTTTTCTGAGGTATGCCAAAATGTTCAGAAACCTTCAAAACGTCGAGAAATGTAAAAAATTTCAATTTCGATTTTCGGCCCATTACAATAACTTACCCTACGGAAAGTTAAAAATTAATAAAACAATAATTATAATGGGCTGTGAAAATTGTAATGACCCTACACGTCCACATTAGCCTATATCCGAGTGGTGTTTTCATATGTACTTCCCATATTATTTCTTTTTACTTGACAAGTTCATCCTTGAGGTCATCAGTAGTTAATTAACAAACAGTACAGTACTGTTAGGCTTAGGAAAGATGTGACTTTAATTTATAAAACAGTAGTCAGTTGACGGACGACTGAAACGACGCATGTTCATTAATTACAATTAAATAGTAGTCAGTGAGGTGAGAAAGATAGAGTTCTTTCGAGTGATTTGTCAAAACTATATACAAAATTATGTATACAAATGTTCATTTTAAATTCAAAGTAGTGTATAATATGCAAATATCTACACTGAACAAGCCGATTTGTCGAAATATTTAGGTTAAACGTTAAAACTGGTAAAGAACTGACCTACACACAACGAATGTTGATATAACCTGTTGCATAAGCAAGAGTTATAAATTTGAGCATAAACTTGTTAGGTAATGCTTAGGCAAAGCTGTAATTTGCAAAATTATGTCGCGGTCACAATGTGTACTTAGTACATACTTTTGTATAAGTTAGAAAATAAATTGATTTTTTTTCTTTCGAATGCAAAACTGTAATGGCATTTTTGGAAATGAATACGCAAATTATCAACTTCCCGAAGGAGAAGTTTATGTTTTTATAAATGAATGTGCAGAACACTTAGTCACTTCATGCTTTAACAGTTTTTCTAAACAATTCTAAAACTGCATTTACTATAAATACGCAAAACAAAAGAACCAATTATTAAGTCACATGAATAATTAATTTTATATTTCCATTAAAGCCCTTAATTTACGCATATTTTCATATTGTTCACTATCAGCTGGAACATATAAATAATGACTTATATATGAAAACAAAAAATAGCCTAAAGAACGTATACTATACTGACGATGAAATCTATACTCTGAAACTGGTACTTTTGCTACGGTACTTTCCTTGACTATATCATGATTTCAGAAATCTTATATTGACTACAGAGATGAATTAAATCATATCCTGCTTATACCAAAGAACCTAATAAATAGGTCTTACTTATAACACAAAAATTTGTATTTGTTAAGATGCATGGTACATTATAAGATAAATTTTTGTTACAAGCTTATTCGGGTAGTATTAAAACAATTAATTATGTGTAATAATGCAAATATATTTCAAAAAAGCACATGTGAATGAAAAGCAATAAATTTTTATCATTTTTTCGAACGATCAATTAGCAATTGATTAGCATTGAATAAATTGTTGCAAGATTACAGCCAGAAACCAGAGAAATCATATTTAAGAAAGAAAAACAGTTAAATTTTATAGATCTTCTAAAATGTTGGTACATAATACAAGAGCTGCGTTGAAGTGTCCTTTAAAAAAAATTAGTCTTCTCGGCCAGAAACCAGAGAATTTCATATTTAAGAAAGAAAAACAGTTGAAGTTTATAGATCTTCTAAACTGTTGGTACATAATGCAAAAGCTGCGTTGAAGTGTCCTTTAAATAAGTCATGTAATAGTCTTCTCGGGTTAAATTGAATAAAATTTTCTGAGAAAACAGTGCTCTCGGGTTAAATTGAATATAATTTTGATTGTATATACCAAAATAGAAAATATCTAAAGTAGTACTAATTATTTGCATATTGTTTTGAATTCCAGAGCTCTTTTCTCATTAGTTTAAGGGAGTGATTGGCGCCAGTACTTGAGATTGCCATTAACATCATAGAAATTAATATGGTATTTGGATACGTACGAATTTTGTTAAGAACATTTGGGTCCGATTTCATGGAACAATATAACCTTCGGTCGATTTTTTCAATTGAAATCGATATGAAGTAGTAATTCATTCAAAAATGAAAGCATTGATACAAAATCTCAAAATCCATAAATAATAATCACTTGTCATCACTTACCATTTACTAGAATGTCCATTGGGGTCCCAATATTCCTGATGCAACTCTGTAGTCAGACTCATCCAAAGGTTCGGTTACCAGGCCGTACCCTGCAGACAGAATGTGGACATTATTGGTATTAAGT